TACTGTTTTTCTTATACATTTTATTGTTGGATGTAACTGGGACCCTGCGTACATAATTTCGCTCCACCACATGTACCACATGAGGTGCGAATGACAATAAAGAAACTCTGACTCTGACTCTGACTCTGACTATAGGATAATATAATAGCATAGGAACTAATAGTTCCTATGCTCTTGAAGCAGTTCATGTCCTGGATGACACCAAACATCTCCTTTTTTGCAGCTACCGTCATTTTCACACCTATCAGGAATGTGTCTCCACTGTGAGTCAACAAAGACCTATTATAACGTTTGATATCTGAACATGCATCTAGCTTGTTCACAGCGGGAGCTGCAGGTTTTACACAAGCGGCGGGGGATAGGCTGGGTTTGTGATTGACAGTGTCAGTGAGGGACAGAGAAGTGGCCGCATGAAGACAGACTGGGAGAACAAACAGGCTTTGCCCAATCAGATTTCTTCTCATTTTAAATTGTAGTCACTAGTAACTAAGATGGTTAAGGGAAATGTATTGAAGTAAAAGTATGCATTTTATTGAGGAAATGTAGTGAAGTAAAAGTGAAAGTCGCTAGAAATGTAAATAACGAAGTAAAGTAAAAAAAATGTCAAAATTCTACTTAAGTACAGTAACAAAGTATTTCTACTTTGTTACATTACAACATTGCAACCCACTGAGACTGAGTAAAATGGAGCACACTTTGAACACCACATGTGTACTTGTTTAGCAATGTGGTGGCCATTGGTATCAGAAGCATTTGTAATGTGGGGGGACACACTGGTGGGGGGGTCTGGGGGTCCTCTCCCAGAAAAGTTTGAATAAAGTAGATGCCATTTCTTGCATTCTGGTGTATTTTAACAGGTTGTTTAACATCTAGTTGTACCTACATAAGCTGGAGTCTGCAACCTGCGGTTCTAGAGCCACATGTGGCTCTTTGGTCCTTCCGCAGCGGCTCTTTCAAGCTTTGACCAAAACTAACTTAAAACTGAATTTTATGTTTAAAAAAATAACTAGTTTTAGCAGTTTTTCTGTCATTTCCTTTGCATATATGTGGATATTAGTACTAATACACAGATTCAATTATACTCTAACTTTATGCTTTATTTCTTCAAAGTAAGATAAGATAATATTCAATACAACAATTTCCTGCAGGATCAATAAAGTTCTATCTTATCTTATCTTATCAATTACTCAACAATTTAAAAAATTGCATAAGCCTGCACAGTTCATTGTTTTAGTTTAAATAAAAATTGGCAAAATAATATATATTTTCCAACAATTTTCAGTCAGACAGTTTCTTTCTTTTTTCTTTTTTTGCTGAAACGTTTCACCTTCGATCCGGAAGGCTTCGTCAGTCAAGGAAACACACAACACAAAACTGATTCTTCCTCCAAACAGCTTACTTCAAAGTGGAACAAACCAGTTATGTTGGTGCTAAGATGGTGTCTTTGGCACGCCCCCTCCACTGGAGCCGGCCTTCTTCCTCGTCGACAGTCATGTCAAACTGGTTCAAAACCAAAAAAAGTCCATGCTCAATAATCCAGGTATACAATCCAACAATTTGCAGTCAGGTCATCTGGACAGTAGGTGTGAAATTATAAAACTAAAAATAAATAAATAAAACTTAAAAAAAAAAAAAAACTGTCCAGATGACCTGACTGAAAATTGTTGGATTGTATACCTGGATTATTGAGCATGCACTTTTTTATATATATATTTTTTTCTTTACAATAACCCAGTCTTCTGTAATAGACTTGCGACCTGGACATGGGGCACCAGTGACCCCCTGAAACTCATAAAGAAAGAAATGGGTAAAGTGTATGGATGGATGGATGGATGGATGGATGGATGGATGGATGGATGGAATCCAGTCTTTACTTTTGTCTTAAAATGCAATAAATGTTAACAATCGTTAGATGTTTTTAGTTTAATAATTTCACACCTACTAGCCAGAAAAGCCCCCCTCTAAAAAGTTTAAAGTGGCTCATGGGCCACCAGTTGATTATGACAATTATTGCAGGTTTTGTGGCTCTGGACACATTTAATCTAGTGAACGAAAGGGCAAAATTGGCTATTTTGATCCTAAAGGTTGCAGACCCCTGTACATAAGTAACACTTGATTCAATAAGCTCTCAACCTTGACCTCTCTAAGGGATTTTAAACATCTGCTAAGTTCATGGCAAAAACCAATGCAGACGTGTTCCTGTTTTTAGCATTTTACATAGCTTTATAATGTAGCTGTTATTTAAATATCAGTTCTTCCATTTACTTTTTATTTTTGAGTCCCCAAGGCTCAATGGGATTAACCTGTATAAATAAAGGTTGAATGAATGAGTGAATTTTACATGCTTTTCATAATTATCTACTGTTGTCATATGTGTTCTTTGTTTTAAACAGGTCTCTCTTGTAAATGAGTCCTTGAGGCTCAATGAGACTAACCTGTAAAATAAAGGTTGAATTGAAGCAACTATTTTAGAAGTAATGGCACAACTAAGTAGCCTGACCAACAGCTCTCCTTGTGTGAATAGAGCCCACTTCACTTCTCTCACGCATCCTCGTCACAGTCTAAGAAACATAGTGTAGCCTAAGTTAACTTTTAGGCGGGAAAAAAATCACTCGCCAATATGAAACAATAATAATAATCACTCCTTCTTACCAATGGCCTAGCATAAAGCAATATGATCATCATCCATTGTGTTTAGTAATTTAAAATACCTAATTAAAACTCCAGTAGTGGACTAGGTCTACTGTAACCTTACCCAGTTGTAGAGTCAAGACACAAACATGTATCATTAACACAGTTTGAACAACATTCAGGAATTGTTTCTATGAGAACATTATCAAATATTTTATGTGAACTGTAAGATCGCTCCTCCCACGAGGAAATGTAACCCAGGGTGAGCTAACCTTGGACAAACAACGTGGCTGTAATGTGGAGATAGTGAAGCTCATGGTGTTTAGTGAAGCATTTCTGCCTTATCAGCCAACATTAAGGCAAAGAAGATCAGCAAAAAAAAAAAAAAAAAAATCTAATCTACTAATAACTTCAAATAGTTACTGGATGTTTTCATGCCTCAGAGTGACACAGGGCAAGAACTCACTGTGAAATTCAGTTTGTAAGAGTGTAAATTTTACATTATACAACCTATTAAACACTTTGTACAAAATCAGTTAGTGTTAACTGATCATAAACAAAGACTAAACTTATATAACCAGAAGTTGCAACATATATCTACATATAAAACAAACAAACCAAAGCACAACTAGCTTTAACCTTTAATTCAACCATTGTAATTATGACACATAATGGAGGATTTACTTGCAGTTACCTTCGTACAGACCAACATGTGGTACTTCCTGTTTATAATGTTGGCCGCTGACCTTTATGATCTTTTACATTTTTCCACACTCCGTTTAGTTTTTGAAATGGAATAAACTGTATCCACCCTCAGTCTAAACTATCCATGCTGCTGATCTCATGCTGCTGATTTATTTCATGGTGCTACATTCATTCGTACTCATCTGCTCACACAGACTCACGTCCGTGCTGCTGTTGTTCAGCGTATTATTTTGTACTATTTGTGCTTAGTGTATTCTTAGTTTAGCATATTTCTCAGTTATGTCTT